ATTAACTCACATAACTAGTCCCTTGGCTACAGCCATTTCTTAGGGCTTAGAGATTCACAGCTAGAGGCAAGAAACTGTTTGTTTCAAGGTCTTGGGCACACTAAAATTAGAGCTTCAAGGTAACAGATGCAAATCGAAGATTCCAATTCATAGGCCAGGAGAGGCTCAAGGTGAAGTTTGAACAGAGCAACAGCCCTGGAGGAAGATGTCACTTCTACAACACCACCACCCCTCCCGCAACCGCATCATTGCTCCAGGCAACCAGCCTGGCCTCGAGGGCACAGATGTGGGGCAAGGTGGGAAGCAGTGTCCTCCAATACCCAGGCTCTCTCCAATCTGCAGCTTCTACAAAGTGAACCTCTCCAGGTCGATACCTGGATTATGCGCAGCACTAAATGCTTATTTCTCCTTGGGGGCAGCGATCTAGCCATTAAGGCCTCTTCCTACCCCCATACCCTGAAATTACCTCATTGGGATTCGATGTGCAAACATTCGAATGTGGGCGTGTTTTGTTCCCTTTTTGAGGGCTGGGCCTGCCCACTGCTTTGTTTTCTTTGTATTCCCAGCCACCAAAAGCCAGGCATTTAGATGATATATCCTTTCTTGTTCAGCTGAAGTGGGGAAGCACCCTGACTCCCAGATCAGAGGCCCTGGACTCATATCCTGGCTCTGACATTCGGTGCCTTCGAAATGGGGAGCTTGCACTGGGATGGCCTCGAAGGGCCTGGCCAACTCGAGATCTTTGGGCCTATGATTGGGGCCATATTGCACCTGTCCATTTGTGGCCGTCATGGCCTTGGGCAGGGCTCTGTAACTGATCCGCCCTTCTTTCCGCCTTCTGTGGTCACATGGGTTAACGGGGTATGTCTCGAACTTGAGACAGCCGGCCCTGCAGCTACCTCAGTCGCTCTGAGTTTCGAGCCCCACCTACGACTCCAGGCAAAGAACTGATTGGGTGTTCCACAAATCAATGTTAGCTTATTTTCCCATGTTCCTTGAAGAGACCCCAGGGTTGGTCAGCAGTAGCAGTAGTGGGCTGTGAAGCAAGAGAGATCCTCCGAATCTTTCTTTCACTGTCTAGGTAGCTCGGTTTTTGTCTCTCTTTCTTTGTCCCCTCCCCTCCCCCTCCTCTCCCCTTCCCTTCCTTTTGCTCCCCCCCTCCCCCCTCCTCTCCTCCCCTCCCCCCTCCTCTCCCCTCCCCTTCCTTTTGCTCCCCCCTCCCCCCTCCTCTCCTCCTCCCTCCTCTCCTCCCCTCCCTCCTCCTCTCCCCTCCCCTTCCTTTTGCTCCCCCCTCCCCCTCCTCTCCTCCCCTCCCCTCCTCTCCTCCCCCTCCTTCCTTTTGCTCCCCCCTCCCCCTCCTCTCCTCCCTCCCCCTCCTCTCCCCTCCCCTTCCTTTTGCTCCCCTCCCTCCTCTCCTCCCCCCTCCTCTCCTCCCTCTCTTCCTCTCCTCCCCTCTCCTCTCTTCCCCTCCCCTCTCCTCTTCCCTTCCCTTCTCTATTTTCCCCATTTGTCCCCTCTCTCTCCACTCTCTTCTCTGTCTTCTCTTCCCCTCCCCGAAGAAATAACATCTGGCTCCCATTTAAGAGACCAGGTTAGGTCTCATCAAGACAGCCCCTCCCCGTCCCCCCATGTCAGAGCTCCCATTTCGATAGCCCCCTCCCAGCGTCAAAAGAGCTTTCCTGCGGCCTTCCTTATGAGGTAGGGGGCCCACAGATAATCACTCCCCCTTTACAGAGGAGGAATCCGAGGCCCAAAGAGACAAAGTGACTCGTCCAGCCTGACCACAGCGAAGTGTAAAGGTGGGCGCCTGCCTGTCTCCAGCATCCCCATGAATACTGGGCCAGGCCACGCAGCTCTTTTTGAGTCATTGTGGCCTTAACCAATTCCTCCCCGATTCTAGCTCTTGTAATTCCTGCTCCACCTCCCCAAGGCTGTATTTCCTTAGTCTGTATTTGCCTTTCTCTTTCCCCTCCCCACCCCCTCACCCACACGGGAGAATCGAAATGCCCTGACCTGAGGGACCGACCGGGTCTGACACCTGATTTTCCTTCTAACATTTATCACGCATTAGGGGAACGCTGGCTCACTGACTCCTCCCTGCAGCCTCCTCCTCCTTCCCGCATCCATAATTACCAACGCAAATGGCCGAATTGCACTTTTGTAGGTTGGTAGGTGGATGAATTTTTTCCAACTTTTCTTGTAATTAAACGAGACTTCTTCATAATGCTACAAAGTAAAAACACCATCGCTGTGAGCAGGATTCGAACCTGCGCAGGGAGCCCCCATTAGATTTCGAGTCCAACGCCTTAACCACTCGGCCATCACAGCACCTAATTTCACATCTACCAGACAAGAGGAATGATGGACTTGAGATGCCTAAAAACAACAATAATATAGGTCTGGAGGGCAGTCTTGTACGTTTGCTATACACTCTACATACTGGATACACAGGACCTCCCAAGAGCCCCTGGGCTGCCAAAAGGAATCAATCAATAGGTAGAATGCATTCTCGTTGGCTTAAATCAGGATCTGCACTGGTGAGGGAACGGGGCAGGGAAGGATGGCAGGGGACGACGCAGGAGTACTAAGCAGGTCCAAAGATTCTAGGCACGAAATTAATGATGATGCTGTTATCTCTCTAATACTTAAAGGTTTACAGCAAACGTAATAAAAAAAACTACCTAGCATTTATATAGTGCTTTAAGGTTTGCAAAGCACTTCACAAATATCTTGTTTGATCCTCACAATGACCCTGTGGGGTGGGAGCTATCCTCATTTTACGGATGAGGAAACTGAGGCAGACAGTTAAGGGACTTGCTCAGGATCACACAGATACTAGCAGTTGTCTGGAGACTGGATTTGAAATCAATCTTCCTGACTCCAGGTGCAGTGATCTATCCACTGCCCTGTGGCTGTCGATAATTCTTATCTCCATTAACAGAAAAAGAAATGAGGCTCCAGTAGATTGAACTCCTTGAGGGCAAAGACAGGCTCACTTTTGTGTCTGTATGTCCAGCGTTGAGAAGTGTCCAGCCTTTAGCACACACTGTAATAAATGCTCATTAACTGAACGAGTGACTTGCCTGCGGTCTTCTAGCCAGCCAGTGTCAAAGCCGAGATTCCAAAATAGCTCAGACTTCAGGTTTAGAGAGAACTGTACCGCAGCAATGCCGGAGGAAGCCTCGATGGCTTTGGGACTAGAAAATTTGGGAAAACTGGGCTTCCATCTTGACTCTCTGAGCTTGGGGAAGTCATTTCCCTGTTGGTAGATGAGTTTTCTCATTCACAAAGTGGCAGACACCCTGACACTGCACAGGGATGGCTATACCCTTGAAGTTGTAATCACCCACCAGAGTCCAGCTTCCTGAGTCCATTCCTCTGAAATTCCTCAGACACTAATCGGTCCTTAAATCTCTCCTTCACCTCACACCTTATCTGTTCCCATCTTAAATATCCAGGCACTGGACATCCCTTTTTTCTCAGGCTATCAATCTCAGGTTAAAGTGGGGGAGATACTGCTATCAGGGACAGCAGGCTGTTCAAATAATCTGGCAAAAAGTGGTAAGGGGCTTAAACTAGCATGGTGGTGACAGACCAGGAAGGAGCAGCAAAGCTGATCCTCTAGGTGCATGGGATAGGAGAGGTGTGATGGAAGAGGAAAGCATGCTAGATTTAGAAGAAGAGAACCTGTGTCCAAATCCTGACCCTTCCTTATTCTAATAAATAAACAGTCCCTGTTGAAGTTGGGAGGGACACCTTCATTTGATTTCATTTCAGAACACATCAGGCAATTCTGTTAGCTTTCCTCATCCGTGACTCCTCTGGTCTTCATCTTTACCTCTTCCCCAAAGGAAACTTGACCTTTACCAATAACCACCCTGGACTCTGCTAGGTGAGCTTCCACCTTGTCTTGCCTCCAGCCGGGCCTTCCCCTCCCTTCTTAGCCATCTCCAGATTGCATCTTTACTCTGGACCATCATCCCCTACCTCCCTTCACAGTAAGGGCTTGATCTTCCTATTTACCTTACTCATATTTTTCCCTTTGGATTGGAATGATTTCTTCCCCACCTCCCCAGAACCCCTTTTCCTGGTCTGGTCCATATGTGTCTACAGAGTCCTGGGATTTGGAGCTGGAAGTAACCTTAAAACTTGTCTAACCCCTCCAGTTGACAGATGAAGAAACTGAGGCCCAGGGAGTTGTGACTTGCCCAATGTCAGTAAGCATCAGTGGCAGGATGTGAACCCAGGTCCTCTTGCCTACCAAGAACATGCATTTTACACTCCAAGCCCTAAGTCTCTTTTGCTCCAAACCAAACACCCCTTAGTTTCTAAGTGCTTAATAAAGGTGTTTGTTGTCCTGCCTTGGTCGGAAGCCTACTGACTAGACTGGGCTTTATCTGCTGGACCTCTCATCTCCCCTTCTGATCTGTTGCCAACCCTTAAATGCACACTGTTGGACTTCCCTTTTTTTTTTTTTAACAAAAAGGCACCTTCTCTTGGGGGTAATATAGCAAAGGGCGACCAGTCTATAAACCTTGGTGAGAATGGGTTTCTGGGATTCTTTCAAATGACCACTGAAAGACAGATTTTGAGACACGATGGGGAGAGAGTAAGCATCCCTGGCTGTCAGAGATGAGAATCTGAAGCAAAGGGCTCATCTTTGTTGTCAAAGACTTGGAAGCCACCCCCCACTTTAGCAAAGGTCCCGTAAGGGCCTGCTGGCACCCTTTCTCATTAAAGAAAACCACTCTTTTTCTAACCTGAAGCTCTTTGGGGCTGCAAAAGTGAGGGCTGAAGGGACTTGATTTTAGCTGGAAACCACTGGGATAGATTTTCTCCAGCAGGATGTTTCTATTTTGCTCTCTAAAAGCATGCAAATTTCTTGCAAGGGAAGCAGGATTTATTTCTCATTAAAATATTTGTTCAAGGACCCAATTCAAACAGCAGTGCCAGGCTCCTCTTCCCTCTCTCTTTGCTTCACATCAGAAAGAATGAGTCACCATTCTGGGCTTGGTGAGAGTCAAAGGAGAGAAAATAAACAGAGGCCTCCAAGGGTATTGTTTTAATCAATCCTTGAAGATAGAGGGGGAAGGGAAAGGAGAAGGCAGATTCTGGAGCCTCCAAAGAGCCAGAGAAAACGGTAAGTTCCAAAAATTTTGTTTTATTGTTACTTTTCCCCCCAGTCCATCCAGAGACCTATTTTCTAAGGGTTACTTAAGGAGAAGTGGAACAACAAATATTTTCATTTGCTTGTCAGCTTCTTCAGGACAGGACCTTTCTTCTCCATCTCCTCACCTTGCCAATCTTCAGAGTGTCCTGGACACAGTTGGGGGCTCCTTATTCCACTGGAAAGTACAGGAATGGCAGAATGACTAAGTTAGAATGGATCTTGGAGATCCTGTCCTGCAATCCTCTCACTAACAGAAGAGGAAACTGAGGTTCAGAGAGTGACAGATACTTAAAAGTTTAATTAGGCTGCTAACTGTAAGATGAGATTTAAGGTACATTGGAGAAATGCCTCCTTCTTTAAAAAAAAATGGTCCTCCATTGTCTCAGTTATTGTGTCATGCTTATGTCATGATTCTTTGACCCTGCTATTTCTTTTTTTTTGACCCCACTATTTCTTCTCTTCATCAAGATAACCATTTCCAACTCCTTCTACCCTCTGACTTTTCCACTGGGCAGTGTCCAGTAGACACTGATAAATTGAGGATAAAGCTGTGAAGTGGGATTACATGAAGTGAATGAAGAGGTCTTTATTAAGCATTTACAATGTATCTCCACACTATGCCAAGCATTGGGCGTGCAAAGTCACAAAGCAAGAAAGGCCTTGCCCTCAGGGAGCTTATCCTCTAATAGAGGTAGACAACACCCATGTGAGGGGCCACATTTTAAGAAGGATGTTGTTCAACTGAACCCCCAAAGGAGAGAGGACAACCCAGACAGGGAAGGGCCTTAAGCCCATATTCTATGAGGATCTACTGAATAAATCAAAGCTGTTGAACTAAGAGAAGAGAAAGCTTTGGGTAACATAAAAGCCAACTTGGATTATTTTAAAGGATTGACATGTGGAAAAGAATTTAGACTTAATTCAACTTGGTCCCAGGGGGCAAGAGGATAAAGAGACAAATTTTCCTCAGGACCTGGAGAAGTTTGGAACACACACACACACACACACACACACACACACACGCACACACACACACACACACAATGTACTGGAACATGTAGCCTACTGATGTGGCCTTTGAGAATCCCAGGACATACCAGGTCCACAATGAGGACTTTAATGGGGGTCCATTTAAGATAAAATTTGCAATTGAAAAGAAGTGTGGTGAAGTGGACACAGAACAGGCCAAGGATTCAAGACACTTGGGCTTCAGTCCCAGCTCTATGACCTTGGGCAAGTCACTTGGTCTCTTTCTGCCTCAGTTTCCTGATAAGAAAAGCAAAAAGGATTGAGCCAGCTGATCCCTAATGTCCTGCCCAGATCTGATATCCTATATTTCTGTGACCAATTGTCCTGGCAATACCTTGTAAATAACTGAATCAATCAACCTCTTGATGGTACTAGAATCTGTCACCCTTTCCCTGCTCATTTGAGACCCAACTTCATCACATCAAGGAAAAAAAAAATGGGGCATTGCTGCACTGCCTAGCCAAAGATCTGCTGCAAGCCTTTCTTTGACATATAATGTATGTGATAATAGACCAGCTGCCTGCCTCTTCCTCTGCTTCACCTGGCCTACACTTAGATGTAACAGTAGTAACATCACATGGAATATTTGAATATCCCATATGAAATAATTCCATAATTTTAAAAGCATGCTAGGAAGTTTGAACTCTGTTTCCTAGGGAAAATCCTTCTCAATATTTTTGGTAAGATCTTAAAATTGAAATTATGCTTTCATGCTGTCTCAAATATTACCAGTGCCACCTTAAAAAGCAAACCTTAGGCATCATTATGTTCTGAAAAAGCTTCATCCTGGCCCTGGTGGCACCTGGCTATTGAGGCCCAGTATTGAAACTGTAATCTTAGACAGTTCTGCTGTAAAGTCATATTCTTGCTTCTTCATAACTTCCTTCAAAATATTTCCCTGGGGAAAAACCTCATCGTGCTTTGAGAAAAGCTCGACATTGTAGAAGCACCCCCAGCACCTCCTCCTCTCTCCATCATGTTGGCTAGTGACCTGCCTTGCGTTTCTACAGAAGAAACAAGGACGGTTCTTCCCTGTGTCTGGTACACTGTAAATGTTGTGCCTGTATAACAAATACAGATGGTTAGTTAGGGGTACTTCTTATGCTTAAGCATTTTACCAAATGCGCTTATGAGTGCAGTGCATTCCATGCCTCCAGACTGCTCCCTGTTACCTTCAGCATCAAATTTAAAATCCTCTGTTTGCCTTTTCGAACCCTTCATGACTGGCCTTTCCTACCTTCCCAGTCTTCTTATACCCTTCCCCTGTTGTACTAGCCAGGCCTTGCTGTTACTTGCACAAGATGCTTCATCTCTTAGGTCTGGCATTTTCTCTGGCTCTTCCTCATGCTTTGAATTCTCTCTACCTTTGGGATTCCTTAGCTTCCTTCAAGTTTCAGCTGAAGCCCCACTTTCTGCAGGAAGCCCTTCCAGGTCCCCAGCCCACACATGCATTGTGTAAATCTCCAATTTCCCCTGCATGAGTCTCTTTTGTATGGAGTTGTTGGTATCTTCTCTTCCCTATCAGCTTCTGGAGGGAAGAGGCTTTTTTTAGCTCTTAGCACATAGTAGGTACTTGATAAATGCTCATTGACTAAACCCAGTTTGCCATTTTGCAAATGCATCCCACTCACCAGAGTGATGATCAGGCAGGAGAGTGGACATGGTTCAGCACAAAGCAAGTGCCCCCACTGGGCCAAAATTTCCAAAGTGGGAGCTCTTCTGACAGTGGGCAAGAAGCTGCTCTTAATGGACAAGGTCAATCTTGTTAGTCTAGAAAATCATAGGAATAGAACACAAGAGCTGAAAAGGACTTAAATATCCAAACATTTTCTTTTCTACATGAAGAGACTGGGTCCCAGAGAAGTGAGATGACTTGCCCAAGACCATGCAGGAATTGAGGAGCAGAGCTGGGATTTGGACGTGGGTTCTATGTGATTTTCCATGACCTTTCCGCATGTGTGTATGTGTATCTGTGTGTGTGCGTGTGCATATGTGTATGTATGTGTATATGTGTGTGCATGTGTATATGCATGTATTGTGCATGTGTATGTATGTATGCATGTGTGCATGTGCATGCATGCATGTGTGTACGTGTGTGCGTGTGTATGTGTGTATTGTGCATGTGTATATGTGTGTATTGTGCATGTGTATGTATGTATGCATGTGTGCATGTGCATACATGCATGTGTGTACGTGTGTATGTGTGTATTGTGCATGTGTATGTGTGTGCATGTGTATATGTGTGTATTGTGCATGTATGTGTATGTACGTGTGTGTGTGCGCGCATGTGTGTGTGCGTGTGTGTGTACGTGTGTGTGTACACAGCTTGGTCGGGTGTGTCCCCCAGAGAGGCTGCAGCTGGCAGGGCACATGAGCATGTGAGCATCAGAGGCTGAGAGGGGCCGCCTGTGCCCGGAGCTTGGGGACGTGGCCTGGATCAAGAGAGACAGTGTGGCCGAGGGGGAGTGCCCGTGAAGCCTGTGGCCGGAGGCGGCTGCCGCGCCGGGAAGCCCTTTCCACAAAAGCGAGCCGTGCCGTTTTCGATGTTATCCAAGAATCGCTGCTGCTGATGTTCACTTGGTTCAGTTGTGGCCAACTCTCCGTGACCCCCTGTGGGGTTTTCCTGGCAGAGAGACCAGAATGGTCGGCCATTTCCTTCTCCAGCTCGTTTGACAAATGAGGAACTGAGGCAAACAGGGTTAAGTGACGTACCCAGGGTCATATAGTTAGTAAGTGTCTCAGGCCAGATTTGAACTCATGATGAGGAGTCTTCCTAATTCCAAGCCCTGCACTCTATCCACTGTACCACCTAGCTGCCTTAGGCAAGGACTACATCTATCATTATAATTTTGCTGGTTATTTTTAAAGAAATGGTTTCATCAGGGCATCGAGTGGCACAGTGGATAGACCACCAGCCCTGGAATCAAGAGGACCTGAATTCAAATCTGGCCTCAGACACTTACTAGCTGTGTGACCCTGGGCAAGTCACTTAACCCCAATTGCCTAAAAAAAAATGGTTTCATGATAAGTTTTCCCTTCCTACAAGAATTATGAGGATGAAGTATGGAAGGCTATTGTTCTCCATTGATAGGAGGACCCAAGTATCAAAGCATAAACCTTGCTCAAAAGAAAAATAATTTATTATCATAGCTATGGTCATAATCATCATTATCATGATATTTACAGAAGGAATTTGGGAACGGGTTGGTAGCACTTCACCAGAGAGCACTGAAGGCGGACAATAGATAGCCAGTCTTGGACTTGTTGACTCTGACTCCAGCTGGTTTACACAGAGGAATCTATGGCATGGTAAAGAGCAGTGAGGTGGTGCCCTCATGCACAGACTGCTGGTCCTAGGGTCAGGAAGACTCACCTTTCTGAGTTCAAATCTGGCCTCACCCACTTAACCAGCTGTGTGTCCCTGGGCAAGTCACTTAACCCTGTTTGCCTTGATTTCCTCACATGCAAATGATCTGGAGAGGAAAATGGCAAACCACTCTAGTATCTTTGCCAAGAAAATCCCAAAAGGCATCACAAAGAGCTGGACATGACTGGACAGCAGCAGCAAAATGAAATGGTAAAGATCCATGAGTGGAATCCTCAGCCCTGCCGACTCACAGATGACATACACATGAGCTCAGGCGACAATGCGTCACAAATGAGGGATTGGACAAATGACTAAATCACGTGGGTTCTAGAGGTAGAAGCTTATGGTAGTAATTCAGAACCAAGTCACTGCCACTAGAAATTTTGTAGAGTTATCAGGAAGAAAACCGGACTCAGCAAACGACGACAATGTGCGAGGAAATAATAGGAACTGTACAATCCATCACTGTGGGTTGAAAAAAAAACGCCAACTGAATACTTTGAACAGCATGACCTGGAGGCTGGGACGATATATCAGAGGATAACTAGCTTTCAAAAACAAACATGTCACCAAC